GGGAGCATTGGTGAGTAAAAAGCTTGATAATATGTTTGGGAAGGAAAGGGAAGGGAGTAAGAACTTTAGCTTGCATATTTCTCTCACTAAATAGGTCCATTCTAAGTGTTAATTAGGAGAAAAGAGAAGGTGGGGAGGAATGAAATTGCCTTGCATCTCCCTCGTAATTGGTCTTTCCACAATTAATGTGTAATAAGCTTGACAATATAATATGCTTGGACATAGAAGGCATCAAATAGTATGGCCTCATTATTGGTCTTGAGTCTCTTGAGTAGCCAAAAAGGGTTATAATGGGCCTCGTTTCACTAAAGATGTTTTTAAGTAAACTTGGGTTGTCCAAGTTACTCTTGAGTCTTGATGGGTTTTATCTTTACAGGCTCAAGTAGAGCCGTCAAAACTCACATTTTTAAGTTACCCAACAAGAAATACCTAACTTGAATTCCAAATTATATCCTAATAACCGTATTATATTAAAATAATTAAACATAATGGCAATAGAATTAAAAATGAGCCAATCTGAACTTAAAATCAACCTAGCTCAAGTCTTAACAATAAATAATTGACGACCCGACTCGAATTGACATGACTTGAACTCAATATGAATGACGCATGGGAACCAACTTATGGAGGGATGGAGGAGGCTTGGGCAATGGTGGGTGTATATATTAGGGAAGACACTAATATAGAATTTCAAAACTTACATTAACTCCGTAACAATATTTATTTTTAACATAACTAATTCCCTACGGCAAATAAGACGTGAAGCTAAGTATGCTTATTGGTGTGGATGGTAGTTTATTTAGAGGTGGGCACTAATAATGAGGTTTGGTCTTAACATTGATGATTGCAAAATTCTGATTTATTTAACATACAATAATAATGCAATTCATATTGTTACGTAAAACTTAATAATCTCAATAATATGGCCCATCATTTTTATCATTATTTAATTTTATGTGACCAAGGTCTAGTATTGGGGGATATATGATTGTCCATTATTATTGTATTATTTGAATTTCTATGCTTAGAGATTGATGCAATTTATAAAAAATTACATGCTTATGCTTTGGTTCTATCTAAATTAAATCACACGCCAAATTCATAAGCAAAGCAAAGCAACTAGCTTGTGTAATTTCTAAGAAATAAAAAGCTATTCAAAATGAATGATGAAGCATAAAATCTTCTCTAAAAGAATTCATAAACCAAATGATTTCATGCACATTCTAACAAAAGAATAAATATAGTTATGGAGAAATTGTCTTCATATCATCAAATAGTTTGTTGCCAACAAAAAAAGGTCAAAACACATTATTATGATCATGTCAAAACACCTTATATATACTCCAACTCTTTAAGCAATGAGTAATCCATGAGTTGTAGTTTTCGGTTGATCAACAACAATGGAACACTTCTTGTTTCGGTTGTTCATGCAATCTCTCTTGTTCTCCTCATTGTTGTTATGTGCTAGTGCTACTAATGTTACTCGTGACCGAAACGTTGTGGGTGACTCTCTTGTAAGCAAAAGAGATCTAATTAGATTGACTAGGGAGATTGAGGCTATCTACCAATTTGGTGACTCTCTTTCCGACACCGGCAACTACATCCGAGAGGTCAATGGGGAAGAGTCCACCTATAGTAGGCTTCCTTATGGCCAAAGCTACCACCCAACGGGTCGTGCCTCCGATGGCCTTATCATGGTGGACTACATTGGTACGTATCATGAACTTAGATATATACTTCGTATATGATATATTGGTTTAATGTATGATAATATACTTTCTTTGCTCTTTTAATACTTAGTTTTAGTTCAGACAGTGTTTTATGACTTTATTAAAAGACATTAAAAAATATATTATCCACTTAAAAGTAATAACTCACCTTAAATTAGATATCAGTAAATCATTCTTCTTTCCTTTATTCTCCTTTAATTTGGTACGTAGTCAAGTAAGTCAACGGGTTTGATTAAACCACAATGAAGCAAGATAATGATGTCCAATTTACCATTACTAGAAATAACATGCATGATTTAGATTTATGACAACTTTTTCTATAAGGTATACTTTTAATGTCTCACAATAAGTTATACTCGGTTATATATATATATTTATGTGTGTTTTTGTGTCGTGTTTTTTTTTTTATGGGTGACTAATAATTATATGGAATTGTGCATGATAGCAATGTTCTTCCATCTACCACTGCTGAGTCCATATCTTGCTAAAGGAAGCGACTTTAGACACGGGGCCAATTTTGCCGTAATAGGCGCAACTGCTAATGGCAAATACAATTCTTTGGCTAGGCAGCTTGTTTGGTTTAAATATCACCTCATGACTACTTATCATAATTCAATGGGTACATTCTTGTTTAATGCTACATTAATTCGTTGAATTTTTTGGTTAAATTTCCAAAACTTTGGATAACTCTATTCATTCCCTTAATTTCATGTACATAATGATTTGCATGATTAATTGCAGCAATTAAAAGACAACTACAAAAGTCATTGGTGCTAATGGGAGAGATTGGAGGTAATGACTTCAATGGTCCTTTTAACCAAGGCAAATCAATAAAGGAGGTAGCTAAGCTTGTCCCCGGAGTTGTGCAAACCATAAAAAATGCCATCGAGGTGAGTTGAAACTTGAATGACTAATTAAATAGAAAACAGGCTAGTCACATCAATTTAGTTCGGGTTATATTGAGTCTATATTTCTTTTAAGAGAATTATGGAGTACATACTAATTTTGAGGTCATATTATTCAAGTCAATCTTAGTTATGGTCAAACACGGGTAAATTAAACTTGTTTTGTGTATAATCCAAGTGTAATTTGGTTTGGGTTGGATGATTAGGTTAGTTTTTTTATAATATTATTGCCATTACAAAGAGTAGGTGATTCACAATATCAACATTTTTTGCATAATTTTCAGGAAGTGATTAAACTTGGGGCTACTAATATTGTGGTGCCCGGGAACTTTCCTATCGGATGTGTGCCTCTTTATCTAGCTAAATTTGCTACAAATGATAAATCTAAGTATGATAAACTTGGGTGCTTGAAAGACTACAATAATTTCGCAAAGTCCTACAATATAAAGTTGATTCAAGCCATCAAGCAATTGCAACAAAAGCACCCAGATGTGGCAATCGTATATGGAGATTACTATTCCGCATTGATATGGGTCATTGCTAATGCTCGACAATTAGGTAATGTTCAAATACTTTGTTAATTGAACTACGTTGCATGAGTACAAGCTCTATATATTACAGTTTAACCACATATACAGATAAATGAGGTTTCATCTTAAATAAAGTCAAGTAAAAATTAAAGTCGCCTTTTATTCATATACACACTTAGTCATGAATACCTTATTGATTGAAACTATACTTATTAAATCTTCTTCTTTAATTCTAATTTGACAATTAAGTCCAACATCCTCCACCTTTCCTTTCAAAGTAGGCCTCTATTAAAAACTGACTTACAAACCATATGTACTACTCGTATCTTGCTTTCATTTTTAATTATATATTCATACCACCTTGTGAACCAAATACCAATGATTTCTAACACTCTATCCCCCCCCCCTCCAAGCAATGTTTTGAAACAATATAAATGTTGGATATAATAATACATTTACTCGTAATATTGTTTGGAACATGTTCCATAAACATCATTAACTTTAATTTGTACTTCGCATACAGTTAACAAATTGTATATTATCTTACAGGGATTGAGCAGGATGAAACCACAAAGGCTTGTTGTGGATATGGTTATAATCCTTATAATTTTGGCACAACTGGTTGTGGCAGCCCTGGATCTCCCATTTGTCGAGACCCTAGTAAAAGAATAAGTTGGGATGGAATTCATTTGACTCAACAAGGATACAAAGGGGTTGGAGACCAATTATTAGAACAATTCGTACCCGTACTTGAAAAACAAATTCGAAGGCGATTGAGGAAACCTATTAGGTAAAAACCTAAGAGACAAATCAAATGATCTTAGGTGATGTGAAAACAATTCAAAGAAGACAAAAGGAGTCCATATATGTTTACTTATTTTATGCTCAACCATCTCTTGGCAACATTTAGTGCACTTAGTAGATATTGCTACTTGAGAGTTTTACACAATGGTTGACTTCACCTTTTTATATATATATGTGGTCAAATCGAAGATATAAAAAAATTATACTCAGTTAATATAATATACAAGTATTTATCTAGCTTGTACAATCTCTCTTTGCATCAATTTTGTTATACGGGTATAATTATACATTTTATGAATATAGTAGTTTTTGCAATTCGGCTTATTGCTCGTATGAGTCATATCATGTATGAAATATAATGAAAAAGTATCTTTTACTTAATTTTTATGTCTCCTTGTACATTTTTTTTGTCGCATGCTTTATTATTTGTTACAGTCGTTTTTGGCGTCATTATTAAGAAATTAAATTAATTACGATTGATGAGTTTTAATTTTGAGATGATGATTGATGAGTTTGAAGTCCAACATCATATCAAATGAACAATAAGACAACATCCATATTAATTAGGTAGGTATATAAAAATAGGAGGTGCGATATTATCAGCCTTATATTCCCCCCCCCCCCCCCCTTAACTTATTTTCTTACTTCTTTTTTACCTTATTTTTATTTACCAAATAAGGAAATGTAGCAAATAGAAATACACATCCAAACGAAGCATAAGTAGCAAATAATAAAAGACAGAGGGAAACTTTTTGTGAAGGTAAAGAAAATCATTTTTTTTTTTGGTGAGCACGAGGGGCAAGCTCAATAAAGAAATCATGATTTAATTATTAATTATTGTAAGAGTAAGATGAAATAATCAAATTTGGGTGCCTTAAACATTGTTGAATTTCATGTTATGCATAGGTGATCTGAATTAGTTGTCACACATTAGAATTAAGTGAGAAAGTAACACTATAAGCATTAAACTCATTCTCATTGATAAATGGTTACAAAATTAAATCTCACTTGTCTAGTGTGCAGATCACATTTTCCGCTATCACCGTTCATGACACACGGTTCAACACTTCCTATCATCAATTGGTTTTCAGATACATCATGTGAGCTAGTAAGTGTTCCAAACTCTCTTATTATTTGGGTAGCGCATATCTAATTTGTTAATCTTAATAGCGCATATCTAATTTGTTAATCTTAATACAATGTAAAATTTTAACTTATTACTCCCTTCAACCTTAATATTTTGTCTCATTTGAATTTTCACGATCTACGAAATACACCTTAAAATATAAATATATTCAAATCTATACATTAAAATAATATAAAAATTTGATATTCTTATACCAGAAAATATAACAAATCTAACTTGTTTTCACTTGCCTATATTATTATTTATTTATTTCTTAGAGATTAATGAGGATTTTTAGTGGTCAAAACATTCAAATTTTGACCGCAAAAAAAATAATGGAGTTCAAAATGTTAGAGGACCAACTCAACCAAAAGCTTGAGACCCGAGAATATGTTTTATACTCTATCACGTTTCCTCACACGAGAGCTCGTTGGGCTAGAAGTGTGGATGTAACATGAGCCAGCCTCATACCCAGTTCTTAATATTTCACTTAAAGGTGGGAGGGTGGATAAGATTTGAACCTTTGACCTCTATGTCACGTTGACTCTAATATCATGTTAGAGGACCAACTCAACCAAAAGATTAACCTAATATGGTTGAAACCCAAGAATATGTTTATCACTCTATCACAAAAATTGGTATAGAGAAGTAATTTTATAGATGTCACTAACAATAAATCTATCGCATAAGTACGGGGCCCAAATTTGAACAATATAAATGCTTTCGTAATAAATTGGGTGAGTGGAATTCATGACGAGTCTAATATATCTGACAAGAATAATCTAATGTTTGACAAAAATATTCTAATGGATTTTGTGTGAAAAACTACCTTTTAAAAAAAATGTTGTAAATGACTACCTCTTTTTTTAAAAAATGTTGTAAATGACTACCACTTGCCGGAATCTGGCCGTTGACTCACTTTTCCGGCGTTGACCACCCCATGTGGTGGCCTTTTCTCATTTTTGACCATCCTCACCCCCTCCTCCTCCTCCATTTTCTAGTTTTCAAGCACCCGTACCCCTTCGCCGTCACCTTCCCCTCCCTTGTCTAGTTTCCGACCACCCTTACACACTTCCAACTGCCGCGCTTGTTGCCCCTTCGCCTCCCTTTTCCAATTTCCGGCCATCCCCCACCCCTTGCAGCGCTCCTTTCCCCTAGCCCTCCTTAACCCTTATTGCAGCCCTGGCCTCAAATAAATTATCAATTTCCGGGCACTCCCCTCCCTACCCCCACTTCCATTGAATCCGGCAGCCCTTTCCTTGCCAACCTCCTTCAATTTACTACTCATTATTCCCCCGAACACCTCGAAACCCTTCCCCTTTCCCTCAATTCTTGATTTCCGACCAACCCCTCAAATAAATTATTAATTTTTAGTCAAATTTCATCCCACCCACGCATCAAAAACCCTCGAAATCCCGCCCACCATCCTTCGACCCCCTCAAAAACCAGATCGCCTTCCTTTCCTTTCCTTTCCTTAATTGAGGAGTTATGATGTTGTTGTTTGAGGATCGCGGAATTGGGGAGCAATTGAGGGTTTGTGTTGGATTTGTCGGGGTGGAGGCGGTTTCAAGTGGGGTTGGGTTGGTTTTGGGATGCGTGGGGGCGGTTGTAAGGGTGTTTTGAGGTGGGTTGAGGTGTTGTGGTGGTGGGGCGGTGGTCAAGATGGCGACATTGCTGGTGGTGCATGCATAGAAAAAAAAAAGAAGAAAAAAAAAAGGTCATGTGACCTGCACGTGGGTGGTCAACGCCGGAAAAGTGAGTCAACGGCAAGATTCCGGCAAGTGGTAGTCATTTACAACATTTTTTTAAAAAGAGGTAGTTATTTACAACATTTTTTTTAAAAGGAAGTTTTTCACAAAAAGTTGTATATAAAAGGTAGTTTTTCACAAAAAATCCTATTCTAATATATGACATTAATAATTCTAATAACTGACATTATAATGATGGTCCTTTAACACTAATATATGACATTAGACTATTAGATTTTCAATTTCAGATATTAGATTAATAATGTCATATATTAGAATGTTATTGTCAAATGTTAGAATATTAATGTCATATGTTAGAATATTATTGTCAAATATATTGGACGCACAGTAAGTCCAGTTTCACGCAAAAGTTTCTCAAATGCTTTTACGTATTTGTACTACGGATATTAGATTTTACTATTTTGAATGCACATGTATTATTATCATGCAAGGTATTAGTCAAGCAAATTAGCAAACATTATGCCAAATAAAGCAGCATTCAGATTGGATTGATTATTTATTTATTTATTATTATTTTATTATTTTTGTGTTCCACCCAATTCATGTCCTTTGTTTAATTAGGATTCGGGGTTCAATTCTTAGTGATTTGGTTCTAGTCCTCTCCTAACTATTGTTGTGGGGGATCGAAGACATGGTCCTCCCTATATATCCAGATCAAGATAGTCTTTCTCAAAGCTTTTATATTTCTGGGGAGAAGGAAACTAATCAAAGCAATTAAGGGAGCTAATCATATCATATCATACAAAATAAAATACAATTAAAAATAGATATGTATATGTTAAGATTGCCATATAATATGAGGCTTTTTTCCTACTATGAGGAGATATTATATAGCAATATCTCCAATCCATAGAAATATGGAAAAATCATATTGTATCATTTTATGATTGTGCATGGAATCTGTCCAAAAAAAATCACAAAAACAAGCTAATATGATTCCATGCACATTTTTATTTAGTAAGAAAATATATGGAGAAATTGCCATATAATACTCCTCAGATTATGATATTAAATTGACAAAATTGCAAATATTACCTATAATTTCCTAAAGAAAAGATTTTTATTATGCTTTTTACCTAAATAACACTGTTTTGGCCCTTATAAAAACAGTCACATGCAAATTGTTAATCAACAAAATAAACAATGAAGCAAGTATTATTTTACGTGTTGGTGCAATTTCTTTTGTTCTCCTCAATAATACTTGTATGTGTTAGTGCTACTACTATAACTCCCAATGGTTTGGGAGCCTCCCTTAGTAGCAAAAGAGAGCTAACTTCTTTGGCTAAGCAGTTTGATGCCATCTACCAATTTGGTGACTCACTTTCCGACACCGGCAACTATGTTCTAGAGCCCAAAAGCAACACCGTCTACAACAGGCTCCCTTATGGTCAAACCACACACCCAACGGGTCGTGCCTCCGATGGCCTTATCATGGTGGATTACATTGGTATGCTTCATTAACTACCTTAGCTACTTATATGAAATATGTGAATACGTCGTGAATATGTATCCTCAAATTTATTTGTTATTTATTTTATATACTATATACATCCGTTTCTTATTAGTTGCAATAAAAAAAAAAATTATATGTTTTATCACAACTAATAATCAGCCCCTTCATTGCAATTAATGAGAAATACTTTAGCGCGTCACAAACTAAAATATTGTACAAACTATAAAAGTTGTTATCCTATTATAGCATGATTTTATATTAGAATATGTTAGGGCGAGACCATCTAACCCAATACTTGCGCTTTTTAACTTGGTAATTTTGATCGACTAACTAATTATTTCAATGTATTTATGATATAGCATCGTACTTCAATCTACCACAACTGAACCCATATCTAGCCACCGGAAGCGACTTCACCCACGGAGCCAATTTCGCGATAATAGGCGCTACCGCTAATGGTGGACTTAACGACAATTCCTTGGCTAAGGAGCTTGATTGGTTTAAAACTCACCTCAACTCTACTTACTCTAATCCAGCAGGTACATATTTCCTATGTCCCAATCTACTTGCAATATTTTGACTGAACACGCTTGCCAATGTACATGTTTGACCGTCGATATCTTTTATTATATATTTACAAAAGCTAAGTTGGGACGGAGTGAGTACATTGCACTTGGATGTTTTTTTTTTTTTTTAAAAAAAAATTTAATTAAATGAAGAAGTTTGGAATTTCATTTATAACAAAATGATCGGTACGTAAAAATTAACATATCTCAAGATTGCCTAAGTTTTTCATTAATTAACAAAATCATTTTGATCTGTTTCCTTAATTAAAAATATAGTTTTGGAAGAAAAATATTGCATAATTAATATATCTTCTCAACAGTTATTACTTTAGTATATACGAGTAATAAATGATTGGTACATTGTTACGTGCTTAAATTATCAAAGCATAGATTTACCATGTCAACATGTTCTCTTAAATTGTACGTACGTACTAACGTACATATTATTATGATAACAACAATCAAAGAAAAACTCCAAAAGTCGTTGGTGCTAATGGGAGAAATCGGAGGCAATGACTTCAATGGTCCTTTTTTTCAAGGACAACCGATCGAGGAAGTATCTAAGCTCGTTCCGGGAGTCATAAAGACCATCCACGATGCAGTCGAGGTAAGTTGAATCTACAACTGACTTAAATTAGGGCTTGTTTGGTTCAAATTATTTTGCTTATCTGATCTGGCCTGGCCTCGTCTAGTCTGGTCTAATATGGTCTGGTCTGGTCTGATGTGATCTTAATTTCAAATTTGACCAAACTTTGACCTCAAATATATGATAATCTATACTATCAAGTGGGGTGTTGTTAGATTTGTACTAATGTGTATTTTATTAATATGTAATTTTCATAAGTTTTCACATTACGAAATTCAAGATATTTAGCGATAAAAACTGCACGCAAAACGATGATCTGATTTGAACTTATTTTTTCTTAAATAAGTAAAAATAAGGTGAACTAAACAAGAACTTTGAATATATATGGATCGAGTTTGATTTGGATCAATTTGGATGTTTTTTTTACGAGAATTTGGATGTTCGGTCAATATAATATTGGTTGATATATTTTGTTACAACCATAAACATAATTGTGTATTAACCATTAAAATTTTCTTATAGATAATTAATCAATAATATATAGTCATATGTTAATTTTTGTTGCAATAACAAAAACTATGTTGTACATATTAATATCGTATCAATTGTAACCATGTTTCGATCTAATCCTTTGCTTGATTATATTTCAGGAAGTGATAAGTTTAGGGGCTACTAATATTGTGGTACCCGGGAACTTTCCAATCGGATGTGTGCCTATTTACCTTGTTAAACATGCGACGAATGATACCTCAAAGTATGATGAACTTCATTGCCTAATTGACTACAATAACTTTGCAAAGTCCTACAATCAACAATTACTACAAGCCATCACTCAATTGCAAAGCGCGCACCCGGATGTAGCCATCGTCTATGGAGACTACTATGCTGCCTTGACTTCGGTCATCACCAATGCCCAACAATTAGGTAATCTTATTCAAATAATCTTACTTAAAATTATCACGCTGTCTTCCAAAAAAAAGGTTTTGGTTTAATTTCTTGTCGTTGTTTGGTTGTGAAGTATGTTAACGAATATATATGTATATTATATAGGGTTCGAGGAAGGTGGCACTGAAAAGGCTTGTTGTGGAACCGGCAATAATCCTTATAACTACGGTGATAAAAGTTGTGGTAGTCCTGGAGCTCAAGTGTGTCCGGACCCTAGTAAAAGAGTAAATTGGGATGGAGTTCATATGACTCAAGAAGGAAACAAAAATGTTGGACAACAATTGATTAAGCAGTTTGTATCTGCACTTCAAAAACAAATTCGAAGACATCGTAGTTGACAGTGATGTTGGAAAAAAAAACACAGAATATACAAAGATGGCCAAAATAAAGGATACACCTCTTATGTATGTTCAACCATAAATGTTTAGTGCATTTTGCTACATAAAATTTAGTTTGCTTAATTAATTTAATGAACACAAAGATCAATACAATATGTTTTTCTTGTTCACCAATTTAATCAAATTAACACCTTCAAATTTTTGTATGCTTCTTGCCTTCTACTATTGTGAAAGTACTTGGATCTTACCTTCCATTTAAATCATCCCTTGTTAATTTTTATATTTAACCTTATTTATCAAGAACAATAATTTTTCTTCATCACTATAACTTGCTAAAGGAAACACAAGGGAGAGAAGCCCAAAATCCCACAAACAAGACCCCACAACAAGGTTTCATCCTAAAACCGATTGGCACATATTCTTAGGTGCACACTCATGCACCTAGAAATAGGTGTAACAACAGCACAATATTAACATTAGCTTTTCAGAAAGTGAACATGCATTAGGTTTCTTCTCCTTCATTTTTTATTTTCTCTCTCCTCTGTTTTTTTTTTATTTTCCCCCTTTTTTACCCTTTTTTGATTGAATTTGTTTCTTACAACATGAAAGTAGTTATTAAGTAGTATGAATTTTTGTGTGAATTTCGATTTTGTGCTTTAATTTCGATTGATTAAGGTATATATGAATCTTTGAATTCACAAATTATACTCTATTTTTTCTCCTTCCTTCTTTAATTCCTTTTTCCTCTGTTTTTTTTTCCTTTCTATTTTTCTCGTTTTTTCGATTTAACGATTGAATATGTTACTTACAATATGGAATTGGTTGTATATCTGATTTTTTGAATTCATATGAATTGATTTTTTTTTTAGCTTCGATCAATTTCATTTGTGTATGAATTTCATTTGATTTTCTGCATTTTTTTTTATCAATGAACATAATCATGCAAAATATGAACATATGCATAGGTTCCCTTAAATGTGAACATTAGCTTTTAATAAAGTGAACATAAGCATAAAACATATGAACATATGCATTTCAAAAAGTAAACATAACAATTCAAAATATGAACGTAAGCATTGGTTTCCTTAAAGTGAATATAACCATTTAAAAGGTGAACATATGCGTAAAAAATATGATCATATGCATTTAAGAGAGAGAAGTTATGCTTAAACAAACTTAATGAGAACAACAAATATTTACTATGAATATTTACATTATATGAACATATAAAATATTATTATGAATATAAGGCATTTTACTATGAACATAAAAAATTGAAGAAATAAAAATAATATGATTATGAAACATATGCAGCATAATTCATAAGTATTAAAAATATGAACATATGCATTAAAAATATGAACATATGCATTGGTTCATTTTTGAATGCGTATGAACATAATTAAGCATTTCAGAAGGTGAACATATACATAAAAAATATGAACATATGGATTTAGAAAGTGAATATAAGCATTTCAGAAAGTTTACAAACGGGTTCAAAATATGAACATAAGAATTCAAAATATAAACATATGCATTTCGAAATGTGAACATAAAATATCCGTTTGATTACACTAATTTTTTTGACAATTCCAATAATAAATTTCGAACAATAATCAAATAAAATTAAGTGATAATCATATAAATTCAAACAAAATTAAGTGAAATTTACATAAAATTGCCTTTTGGGGGAGGATTCTTTTCATTTTTCATCTCTTTCCTAATGTCCATTGAAGTTTTTGCAGTTTTTTAGTGAAAGAATGAAATAGAGGAGAGATAAAGTGAAAAAGATGAGAGAGAAAATCATATAGAAGAAGAAGATTTTTGAGTTTGGAAATGATGTTACATTTATTGGGTGTGGGTGGGTGTATTGTAGTTTCCGTGTTTTTTAGTTTTAGGGCTATTTTTTAATTAGGTTGTGTGTAATTAGGCTTTTGGGCTACATTGTTACACCTATTTAAGGTGCACAAGGGTGCACCTTAGACTAATTGACCAATTGGCATTAGAAGGAGTAGCCCGCTTGGGTTATAAACTAAAAAGTCTTTACTTTTTTTTTTATTATAAATATATATATATATATATATATTTTTTACTTTTTTGTTTTGTTTTTTTTTTTAATATATATATATATATATATATTACTTTTTTGTTTTTTTTATTTTTTATTCTTAATGTGGGACAAACTATATACTCACAGTTGTACCCAGTGGCGTATCCAGGAATTCCGAACTGTGGGTTCGGAATCTTAAAAAACAAACGATACTCATATATTAATTAAATATTCAATATAAAAGTTCAAATTTTTTATTACAAATAAATGGATTAAACAGTTATAAAATAATAAATAAAAAAAACCCTACAAAAGCATTCTTCGAGTTTTATACTTTGAAAGCGTGCTAAAACATTACTACTTCTATAAATGATAAATCTATAATTATATTGCAAAAAATCAATATTACACGAAAATTCGAAAAACAAAAATCCCAAGCCCCCAATAAACACAAATTTGATAATGAAATTTTTTTCTAATTATCAATTAAAAGACCAAGTAAAAATTTTAAATTCTAAGTTTCTAAATTCAATTTATACGTCAACAATATATCAAAACTAATTAAACAAATCAATAATTAATCTAATTATCACTAATTTACAAACAAATAATTATTTAAGAATTAAGAGGAGTAGAGGAATAAGAGGACTGTTGAAACTAATACGTACTAAAGGATAAAAACAAGGTTAATTTTTAAATTACCACCCAAAAATGTAACCATTTTCGAACTAACCACCCGATTAATTTTTTATTTTAAATAACCACCCCTTAAATTAAATAAATGCTCAGATTACCACCCATTTTAAAAATCCGGTGGATTTTCCATCTGTAGGCCCCACCTAACACTTATTTTGACCCTTTTGATTGATTTTTTCCCCGATTTTTCTCTTTAAAAACGCTTTCTAAACTTTAATTCACATTTCTTTCACCAAATTCAGTTCAGTTCAGCTTCTAATTTCCTTCTTGTAGGCGTCGTTCGAAGTGCGCCTACGTTAAAAGCATGTTGTGAATATGCTTGGCACTCATAGGAAGTGGGAATTGACATATACGATAAGGGACACGATTAGGGACAAGGAAAGTAGGGAGCCGCCAACAAGTTTTTAAGGAACTTGTAAACCGTTCACGGATCATAAAAGGCAACCACGATAAAGGGACAACGATAGGCAACCACGATTGACCCGTGAAGGTTACACCCCATTCATAATCTATAAGATTACTAACTCCATATGGTTCGGAACCACGAAAGGAGGATCGGGGATGATGGTACGAAGTGAGTCATGGAGTCACATTCGCCCGTATTGGCCTCTACTCGATTCTTATAGTGAAAATCATTCCTGCGATCTCAAAGGCATACAATAAAATATTCAATTTGCTCCAAACTATTATTAGGCTAAATTGGTTGAATATTAATGCAACATATTATTCTAAAATATTAGTGATCACTTGATTAAACAATAAGATTAAAAAGGAACCTAAACCGGTTGTCCAAATTATCTTATTAGGCGTGATTTTCAATTACATATTCCCTTTAAACATGCAATATGGTGATCAAAATAAATAATAGAATCAATATTAATATAAAAACCAAATTAATCATAATTCTAACAACATAAAAATCGTTAGAAAAATAACAATAATAAAAAGAGCATGATCCTTACTTTGATTCTGTTTGTTTGCAACTACAAAATAATAAACGAGTTAGTAACTTCAAGGAAATAATAAAACAGTAATTAAATTAAATTAAATTAAATAAGGTTGATTTTGGGGCCAAACCCTCAAACGATTCTACCTTTCACGCCTTGGTTTAAGGACAGATCCTCGAGTAAAATATGGACTCCTTTGAGTGCTTGAAGAAGGAATTTTGAAGTGAAAAGGGTAGGCTAGTGTTTAGGTTAAGAGCATAGAAGAGAGAAAAAATAAGAGTAATCGAATTCTGGTCTCCCCGTACATCAGAAATGAGGGGGTATTTATAGGGAAATGTGCTGAGGGAGCACACGGAACCCTAAAATGATAAAAACCCTAAAAAAGTATCCCGTGACACGGTCAGAATGTACCGTGACACGGTTAGACTGTACCGTCAGACGGTACAAGTTCCCGTGACACGGTCAGTTTTGGAGTGACGCGGGAAATTTTCAGAAAACGGAACGGAAAATGCGTTAAGGGTTTACGCGGAAAGGACACGGAACTTCCCGTGTCACAGGAAGTCCCACCGTCAGACGGGAAGAGTTCTCGTGACACGGTCAAGCTGTACTGTGACACGGTCAGTTCCAGTCCATTTTTCCATCTAAATTCATTTTTAACCCTAATTTCTTTCGGCTTTTTAAGTGCCGATTGATAATTTCGGGCTTTTTCTGACTTTTATTATTCGGGCTAAAATAATAAAAAATAAATAAATAAAATATTTGGGCCAAAAATAATAAATAATAAAATAAAAAGGTTTGGGATTAAAATTAATTAACAAGTTTGGGCTAAAATTAAAACTATGCTTTTACCAAACACCAAGACTGATCCATGGACCTTTCAAAAATATGAATTTAATAAAATACGATTTTTTAAGCACTCTTGGGATTAAATACTAAACCCGACCAATAGTGGCGGTGAAAGGTTATTTATCATCGGGTTTGGTTTCGGGGAGACATTTTTAGGTGTCTACAAAAGCCCCCATTTTTAGGTGTCTACAGAAGCCCGGACGTGGGCTGTAAATGGTCCGATTGTCCCCGGACGTGGGCCGTAGATAAGACCTGCAAAAATAAATTTGCCAATGGACTCGTATACACTGTGATTGACTTGACAACTAACTTGACCAAGTTTGACTTGATGTGACATGACATGTGTATGACTTGTGTGTGTGTGTGTGTGTATATATATATGTGTGTGTGCAGCAAGCAAACGAAAATGCAAAAGCAAAAATTTTCCGTCAATTTTTGTCATGAGTGGAGGATACCGACTTTCTCCCGAAAAAGAAAGATGTGAAAACTGAACTTTTATTTTCGAACTTCCTTCGATGAAAACTTGGAAAAAGTTTTTGAACTTCCACAAAATAAAATAATGAAAAAGGAAAGAAGTTTTGAACTTCCTCCTTGAGCAAGACGAAATAAATCGTATGGATTGAATTGCTTGTCCTGTAAATAATGTATGCATGATGCATGTTCTTAGGCTAGGAGGCTAAGGACAATTACATCATGTGACACGATAGATGAATGAACTTAAGTCATGGAGCTAAGCATCATATGTGGTGTAAAGAAGCGATTTTGAACGTCACTTAGGTCTGGAAGCTAAGCACGTATAGTGATTATTGCATAATGAACGTTGCTTAGGTCAAGGAGCTAAGCACGATATGCTTTGTATGATTAAAAATCATTGATATATAAATGTTTCTTAGCACATTATGCGAAACAATGAACATTGCTCAGGTCAGGAAGCTAAGCAAGTATACAATGTTTCTTCTACTGAATGTTGTCTTCAAATATGATGAAACATGCACAGTGTTGAAACAAGATTTCATGATAAAGGGCTCTTAAAGGGAAGGATGATTTGGATATGAATATGTGAGTGAAGTGTGTGAATGTGATACTAAGGCTGGCTGCAAGGGTTATGGTGATGGAAAGAAATGTGAGAAGAGTCAAAGATGATGGCTCTTTAGGCTGGGTAGGCTAAATGATGTGGGTTCAAGCCCCCAAGTCTAGCTCTAAATGGGTAGGGGTAAACATTGGATATCCTTTGACTCGATCATGCATGGATATGAATATGAATGTGGCCGCACCTCGATGTGAGGTTGCCTACGTATCCGTTAGGAATCAGGCCGAACGTAGCTCTAACTGAACTTTGCACAAGTGTATGTACACCTCAAAGAGGTCTTTCAAGGGTTGTTTGTAAAGATTTTTTAAAATTTAAAAGATAAAGAGTATGCGAGGATGATAAAGATGAAAAGAGTATGCGAGGATGATAAAGATGTGAAGCAAAGAACCCTAACGCTGTTGTTTGTAAAGATTTTTAAAAATTTAAAAGATAAAAATCATTTAACTTTTAAAGGTAATAAATTAGGAAAATATCCTATTTAGAATAAATGATTTCCAATATATAATCTATTCAAAATTTAAAAAGATAGAAATTTAGGAAAAAGATCATAATTAGAATAAGTGATTTCCAATATTAAAATGCAATTTCTATACTTAAAATATATTGATTCCATAATTTTTGTTTATTGATTAGTTCGAATCATTGTCCAGGTTCATCGTATTATAATTTGCCATCGAAGTAAATTCTATTATAATAATTGGAAATGTCCAATGTTACGTTTGGTCATTATCTTTTTATAATTAATAAAATTCAGTTAAAGTTATGTCATATTTGTATTTGGGTCAATACCTTTTTTTATCACAAACAGTGTTTATAATTCGATCTCCGATTTTTTGGATCAAAAAAAGTTATGAAAAAAAATGTGTTACAGTTTCTTCTCAGATTTTCATGACGAACATATATTACCGAAAAAGTTTAAATTTTTTATTTCTTATACCTTAAATCGCTATATTCGAATCCGATGCTTGATTTTATACAATTAAAATCTATAATTCAAAGATTAAGAATCCACCCACAGGATGATAGAAACCGATTATGTGTACCATAAAATTGCGAAATGGCTATATAAATCAAGCCTATTTTTCGATCACAATTGATGCGCGATTGAAATTAAGGTACATGGAACATAAAATCGTGGTTGATTTCATTATTTGATGAAAAATTTGGATGAACTAGGAAGAACATTGATGAACATCGAAGAATGACGAAGAACAAATTTTCGATTTTTAATTTTTTTTATTCTTAATTTTAGATTTTATTAAAATTAGATTTAGATAAAATAATTTCGAAATTAAATTAAAAATTTCAGAAAATCAATAATTGAAATTTGAAAAATAAGAAAATGAATTAGAAAAGCAAAATACCTTAACTATCCTTAAATAAGGTTTGACCAAGCTAAAAAAATAAATCTAAAAACAACCAATGAAAATTAAGTATAGTGATGGTCATTGTGAGAGTGACCGAGGAAGTATGTACCTAGGGCTGGCAAAAGCTGACCCGACCCGACAACCCGACCCGAACCCAACCCGAAATAAATGGGTTTTGATAGAGATTTTCAACCCGTTTATGTAATTGGGTCAACCCGAACCCGACCCGAAGTTAAATGGGTCGGGTTTAGGTTGAAAATCCCAACCCGAAACCAACCCGCATAAACCCGTTTATTTAATTGGGTCGGTTTCAGGTCGGGTCAACCCGAACCCAACCCGCTTAACTTAATAAAAAAATAATAAACGCTTAACATAATGTACCACTACCTGGTATGGGATATGCCCAACCCATACCATAATAAAAAAATAATTTTTGCAATTTTTTTAAAGCTAAAAAGAAAAAAAATAAGTAAAAGTGACAGGAGGGGGTAAAAGGCTGAAACCCGCTAAATTGAATCCAACTCGCGCGAAAGGTATTACGAAGGCCGGAAAACCGCTTAAACTATATCCAAGAAAAACAGAGTAGATCTGGTTCCGCAACCTGTCAACTGTATGAAGAAGAGATCGTTCTTCTCAATTTTAGGGTTTATTTTTGTTAATTGAAACATTATGAGTGAATTGGTTGGGTTATAATTACTCCTTTTGAGTAGTATAAGTGGATTTTCGTATCAGTGGGTTTTGGTAGTGTTGTTTTCAATTTCTTCGTAGTTTTTTTGAAGTATCTATGTAATTTGTGTTGGAGCTATGTTTTAATCTCTAAATAATTTCTTTTTTGCACAATTATTTAATTATTTTGTAAATAATATACTGCAATATGGGGAGTATATGATAGAAGTTGTTGGATCTTAGTAGGCCAATTTTATGAGCTGTTGAACTTTCGGTGAACTTGTTAAGGCCATTATAAATTTCCTTGAATTTGGAGGTGGGCTTAATTTCTGAATTGAATTTAGTATAATTCCTTAGTTCTAAATTGACATTAATACATTATTTGGAGTTGGTATATTTGCTTTGTTTGATATGGTCCTTGACTCACAAACTTGTATTGTAGTGACATGGCTTTAGTTGATGATGATTTCAACCATTCGGAGCATGGTTCGGAGGAGGGCTTTTGTACTCCTCTTCGATGTGTGGTTGAGACTCAAGAAGGACAGATTCACGAGGTATAATTAGTTTTGTGCCTCTATGTTTTTTTATGTTCTAACATGTCAAAGTTGTTTTGTGGGCATTGTTAATACATGTACATCATTTTAAATCAAGTGAATTGGAGTACAGAAATTATATATGTGAATTGGAGTACAGAACAGAAATTATATATAGGAAGCAAAAATAATGCATGACACAAAACAGTAAGCTAATGGGTAATCATCCGAAACTACAAAGGTGTAAGGCCAACGGTTTGCCTCAACATTCAACTGCAATAAATTTTTAAAACACATTAGTACTTTTCTAGCAAAGAACTGACAAATTTGTTCAGTTCCTAAAAATCAGAAATTTGCTTGATTATAACTTGAATACCTGCTGTTTACCATCAGGACTTGAACTTTAGAAATATTGAACTTTGAAAGCTTATATTATTTGTGTTTGTTTCTTTTTTATGTGAAGGAAACTTCGTAATAGATTGTTCACATAGCAATCTTTCCTGTTTGGATGTGAGAAACAGAGTTCATACAATAGGACAACAATAAAGAAACCCAATATATCAAAATAGGATGTTTTTTAGAAAACCATGTAAGTGTGAACTTAAATAGAAGCTTAATACACCACTTGCTCCACAAAGTATTCAATGAAGGTTGAAGACACCTCAGATAATTTTGTCATTTTGTTTCAATTAAATCATCTTCACTTAACTGAAGTTTATCCTACTACAGTATTTATGCTCCTTACACCTACCAAACTTTATACAATAAATCTACAATTGGTCTTGAAGAGTAGTAAGAGCAATCCAATGAATCATAGCAATTATAAGTAACCTCTGTCAAAGTAACAATGCCAGAAAACAATGTAAGAATAGATGATTTCCTAAACACATGAGGTGAAAGATCCTTATAAGGTCTGTGAGCCTGTAGATAATCAGAAATATTGAACTTCCTTATAAGGTCTGTTATACTTGTCAAAGTTGTTTTGTGGGCAGTTTTAATTGTAGACTTCCTCATTAGAGCATTTAAAGTTTAATGTATTGTGTTTATTTGGCAGGTGGAGTTGTTATCAACCCCTATTGATTCAGTTGTAGATGAATTCAACCATTTGGAGGAGGGCTTTTGTACTCCTTTACGTTGTGTAGTTGAGAATGAAGAAGGACAGGTTGAAGATAAACTTAACGACCCTGAAGTAGGTATGGTTTTCAGTAGTTGGGAGGAGGCTGACAAATTCTGGAGGCAGTACGGGAAGCAGCGAGGTTTTGGTGTGCTACGTGCAGCTGGTAATTACAAAACTGAGAATGGTAGAAGTGATAAAACTAAGCTGAGGAGTTACATATGGAGATGTGAATGTGCTGGGCAGCCTGATATAAGACGAAAAGTTAATGGGAAAAGGGTTTATGGTGGTGGTTTAAGTTTGCAATTAAATCGTAGGAAGACGAAGAAATGTGGTTGTCTTGTGCAAATGAGGGCAGCTTGTAAGCAGGATGGTTCATGGGAAGTTAAGAAGGCAGTTGTAGTGCATGTGAATCACAATCCTACTCCCCGGAAGTCGAGATATATTTCAATGTTTCGGCAAGGTGAAATAAATAGTGTGGTTAAGAGGAAGCTCTTTAATGACTGCAGTGCGGGCAGTAAAGTGACACAAGTACATCGTAATTTGGCAAAAGAGAGGGGCGGAGTTGAGAACATGGCCATAACCGAAAGAGACCTAAGGAATGTTCTAGCTAAGGAGAAGAAGTTTAAGATGAGTGGTGGTGATGCAAATGCAATGCTTGCCTATTTTGATAAGATGAGTGCCGATAATCAGAACTTCTTTCACAAATATAGGGTAGATGATGAGGGTAGGTTGACCGATGTGATGTGGGTTGATGCCCGGAGTAGGGTAGCGTATGAGGAGTTTGGGGATGTTGTGTGCTTTGACTCGACATACATTACTAATGAGTATAAGCTGCCTTTTTCTAATTTTGTTGGTGTCAATCATCATGGCCAGACCATATTATTAGGATGTGCCCTTGTATCTCACGAGGACACCGACACATTTGTGTGGTTGTTTAACAATTGGAAAGAGTGCATGAGTGGCAAAGTCCCTGGTGGTTTCTTGACAGATCAGTGTCCGACAATGAGAAAAGCATTGAGTATTGTAATGCCCGGTGCGAAGCATAGGCGGTGTTTGTGGCATATTCTTAACAACTTCGGCACCAAATTGGGAAAGTATTCGAAGTATGAAGAATTCCATGACGTTCTGCTTAATGTCATATATGACAGTTTGACCGAAGAAGAATTTGAGGTTAATTGGACCCTAGCAATGGAGTCATATGGTCTTGCAAATGACGACTGGCTTACAGGTAAAACTGAAAATACATCTTATTTTAATGTGCAATAGTTATTGATAGGTATGGACAGCATTATAATCTCTTGAAATATTTCTGGATTGCTAGACTGAGAATTTAAAGCATGAATGTGTTTTTTTTTTTTTTTTTTGGGTGTTTATTCTAGATTAAAAGTGCAATCGAATACTCTACATTGTTAGAATTCCTAGATATGACTGTTAAGTTAATCTTCAGCCATCATAAGATGTCTTAGTCAGTCACTAACAATCTAAGAATTAGGACCTACTGCTGCGGAATTCTAACAATCTGTTTTTTTTTTTTTTTTTTTTCTTTTTATAGTGTTGTATGATGAAAGACATATGTGGATACCGGCTTATATGAAGCATTTGTTTTGGGCGGGTATGAAGACTACACAGCGCTCATAGAGCATAAATAGCTTTTTTGATAAATATGTAAAGAGCGACACTTGTTTGTATGAGTTTGTAGAAAGGTATTGCGATGCTATGGAGAATCGGGTGAATTCGGAGAAAGAAGCTGATGCAAACTCTGCAATGAGGGTCAGACATGTCCTTACGACTTTCCCTTTTGAAAAGGTTTTTCAAAAGTTCTACACAGATGCTAAATTTGAAGAAATACAGGAGCAGTTGGCAAGGCTGTTGTATGTCAGCGTTGTTTCCAAAACAGAATTGTGTGGTAATGTTGTTGAGCACTCTGTGGAAGATAGAGTATGGATCTATCTTAAAGACCAGAGGAAGGAGATTCCTATTGACAAGAAGAGAGTTTACAGGGTCCATTTCAACATTGAAACCAAAGAGGCGGCTTGTGAGTGTAAGTTATTTGAGTGTCACGGAATTATGTGCAGGCATCAATTCAAGGTGTATGATGTGAATGACATAACTGAAATTCCCAAGAAGTATATATTAAGGCGTTGGCGTAAAGATGTTCAAAGGCGTCACACTCGAGTGAAGGTGGCTTATCATGATCCTTCAAAAACAGAGGAAGTCAAGAGGTTTGATAGCCTGATGGTCCGTTTTGAGAGACTTTGTCTTAAAGCATCAGCGCAACAAAAGTATGTTGAAATGGCTCTTGAAGGACTTTCCAATTTAGAGGAATCCATTGATGCTGCCATCATGGAAGCAACTGATGATGCTAATGTAGCCATGCCATCTGAGGATGCAATGCCATGTGATGATATCATGACCGAGGGTTATAGTAATGTTGTTGGTGTCGAGGATATAGACCTTACACCACATGTTGTACTAGCAACTAAGTCTACTGACTTACCTACTCATGTTGGGGACCCTCTTTCACGCAAGAAAAAGGCCCATAGGCCAAGGACTAAAAGATTCCTAGCCTGTACAGAAAAGAAATGGAAGAAAGCATCTACTTCGGTGCAGCAACAAACTCAAGCTACTGCATCAGGCATTCCGGTAATATTACTTGCTCTTAACTATTTATATGCTAAATATATGTCTTCTATTTTGGTGGCTTACAAATTTTCTATATTTTTTTTTGTGTCTTTTATGAAGGTTCACTGTTATGGCTTGAATGTTGATGAACCTGTGACTCCAATTTCGAAGCCAAGGAAAAAAAGAGCTAGGAAGGCCAAGGCCAACACTGATGTACAATTAGTGCAATCTGTTTTTGGTAATGATGGGCCGGTGTTAAGTCCACAAAATCGGTGGGTTGGAGGTATTGGATATGGTCCGGCCTACGGTGAACTTTGCTACTTCACTAGGTCTTATAATAATTGTCCAAACTGGGTAGCACGGGATGTCCTTCCATTTGTTTCCGGTGCTGGACTTTATACAATGGCAACAACACCTTCCAATTAGAGGGCCTATATTTCCCAAACCTTAGAGGGCCTATTTTTGTATAAAGCTACATTTAACTTATATTCCTATTATAAGCTTCCCCTTCAAAAAAAAAAAAAAAAAAAAAAAAAAGCTTTGGCCTGTTTTGCTAATCTAATCTTATGTAAAATCGAATTATTGCTTCTGATAATATTAGTTTATGTGTTGAAATCACTAATATAAATTTTCTGATAATATTAGTTTATGTTTCTGATAATTTTCTAGTACATTTATTCTAGATATAATACAGTTATTATACACCACAAAATGAATGTTTTTAAAAAAATTGATACATATCTTATAAGTCACTATTTCTTTAATTTTCCTTTCCCCGGAAGGACATACATATATCTTATCTTTACTAATTGAATTTCTTTACTTCTTGTAAATCTTATCTTATACTTCGTATATATGAAGAGTGGTTGATATTAATTTACTTTGAGTTAAACCTTTAATTTACTTTGTACCTTTTGCCCAAGTTTTGCTTAGAAATTGATTACCGTTAATATAAATTAGTATACTGTTATATTGTAGATAGACATTGTTGTTTTTCAGGAAGCTACTGTTATATTTTAAGTACATACTGTTATTGAATTGAAACGGATATTTTTTTCCTTAAAAGGACAAAATCAACTTATCTTATACTTCGTATATATGTAGAGTTATTGATATTAGTTTCATTTGAATGTAAACCAAGTGTTTTGCCCTACAGGTATACTTTGAAATTGATTACCGTTAATATATATAAGTGTACTGTACTCCCTCCGTTTTTAAAAAAGTTGTTCCATTTCTCTTGGACACGCAAGTAGATGATATCTTTGATCGAGATGATTTCAACAAGTATGAATTGTAACAACTGAAAATTAATAATGTATTCATCGAGATGATTTCAACAAATATCTACAAGACTATTTTTTGGACAAAAGAATAGTGCAAAAAATAGAATTAGAGCAAGTGTTTAAAAACGAAGGGAGTACTTTGTATATATAAAGAGTTATTGATATTAATTTACTTTGAATTTAAACCTTTAGTTTTAACATTTAGGTATACTTTGAACTTGATTAATGATTATAGAGTTAATTATACAGTTATATTATACATAGATACAGTTATATTCCTAGTAGGTACCGTTATTTAATTGATCCATTCTTATTTAATTGACTCAAAATTTAGGATGAGTCACTAGTAAAAGCAGAATGTTATTACAAACTTCAAATACGACTCTAGGACAAACTACTTTACAAATATTTGTTACTTTAATACTACAAAGTAAGAAATTATAGAATCAACTGGCATCCCAATAATTATAACTAATTACAAAATATTTAATAGTTCATTTCAATATTTAATTAGATTGAATGGACGCATATACTTATACGTTGAAGTGACATAGTTATGGCCGAATGAAGTGCTCGAATCTTCGCCGTTCAAATCCTTCTCGCTCTATATGGGCGTGAAGGTATGACCCATCTTCAATTCCTGCTTCCTCAACCGTCACACGATCATCCAAGTTGACCCCATTTAGCCACAATCGGACTCGTTGTTCATCTACGTTTCAGTCGGTGGCCCATCGTTTATATAAACTCAAAATGGGTGTATTGTTTGATGCTCTAAATTTGTAAGTGTTGCGACGTTCAAATAAATCAGATATGTGAAACAGTTTACGATTGGTGGTATTTACTCCCACTGGTCGAACAGAAATAGACTTCCCTTCCTATGCGTAACAGTATAGAGGTAGTAAATAACAGTATGTAGAACAAATTTAATCAAATACAATAACAACATAACAGTATAATATTGTAATATTGATAAACGTTAAATATCATTCATACTACAATAAACTTTATGTACTTACAGTGTTATAGGCTAGAACTATTTCATTACTGCAGAAATCTCTGTCAAAGGGTGTCTCTGTAGGCGTAAGAAGTTGACCTTTGTGATAAAAGCGCAAGATGCTTGGCCTAACTCCGGCCCTTTGTGCATAATGAATAAAGGTGGAATCGAAAGTTTCCTCCAAATCCAATATGTACACTATACCTTGATCATCCATGGTTTTATTCGATTAACTAAACTACCAACATTTAGACATAATCAACATAGCAACAAACCATAAAACATAATCTACCAAAGATACCAGCTTAAGTAAAGATAATTAACCATACTAAATTACTCCATTAATTTGATAAAGAAAAACCAAACGTATCACATGATATTAGTGAGTACATTTGTGTACTTTAATGCGACCCCCATATTTTCAATTTCCCATTGCTATTATCCACGTAATAGGTCTTCACGTTTAGGGCAATCTTGGTGTACTTGTATGCTATCCCCTTTTTTTTTTTGGGTTTTGCTTCCCTACAGATGTCCCTAAAGCAACATCCACCAAGAGCTTCCGACGTATACACTTCGGCAGTGGTTCTTTCCTGACCTTGATGTCAAATGGCTGCAATAATTTAATGTATGATCATTAACAAAAAATTTATGTACATACGAAATTTAATAAGTAATGAAAATTTGTATTAGCATTACCTCTTGATTATTGGGTTGGTCTGCCATTTCCTTTAGCCAAGAATTTGAAATGATGTACCATAGTATGACAAACAAGTTTCTTATATAGGCACCATGTACCCCTACGTACTTTAATAGCCTTTGAATTTAATAGTACAAGTTTAGGCTGCACACATTTTATTGTCTTATTTGATAAAAAAATTGACAGTTCAACAATAATCAGTATGTCATGTCTTCTCATGAAAATAGTTTGATTATAGTTTGACTAAGTGTATTACTCGTTTTACTACCGTGTATTTTATTATTGTTACTATAAATTCAAGAAAACGTGAATTTTATTGTTTTGTTCTTTCTTTTCAGACCCTTTAAAAAAGGAAAAATAAATTTATTAATTAGTTTTATGCTATTGTATTATTTTTATATGTCACCTTACTTCTTTATAATTGCTCTTTTTTTTACTCAAGCAGTGAACTTCACAAAATTTCAACTATGGCAGAAGTTCAAAATTATAACAATGTCAACCAAATCCTCCCTTCCGGGTATTACATCGTACCACCATCCAAAAATACCATTTTCTAGGAGCCACCAAAAAATCTATCCAGAGCTCAATTTTAATGACTTTAAGTACTTTATCCCATCCCCCGAAACGGGTATAATGGTTCCCGTCAAAGAAGAGGTGCTGAGGGCCATTGTTTTCAGTCCCGAATCACCTTGGGAGGAAAATCTGAAGGCCATGGTAATGATTAGTGAAGATGGTAAATCTAAACCAATTCATCTGCCGAACATTGTTGATCTTGTTGGAATAGTTAAATTGCCAAGTACTTTTTGGAAATTAGAAAAGTGGTGTCTTGATTATAGTAGTAGTTGTGCTACAAAATTAGTACCTTCATTTCTTGAGAAGATAGCCGACCCAACTCCGGACCTGAAATTCGAGGGCCCGGTTTACTCTTTGGGTTTGGAGAAGGTTCAGTCTGTGATGGGCTCCTTCACTGACGGACTTCAAATTTTTTACTCAACTGATCGTATATCGTCTATCGACTATATGATTTTTAATGGTAGGGACAACATTATGTTTAAGTACAAGAGGTTCATGACGGTTCGCCTTGAACCGGAGTACGTGCCGGGGTTGCTAGAGTTTCCCATAGGTTGTTGCATAATAGTGTGGAACACTAGAGGTGTTAGTAGACCATCTTTTGTAGAAAACCTTGCAAGATTGATTTGTCTCCATCATCCAACCATGGTCATACTAACCGAAGTTTGAGTTAGCAAAATCCATGCAGTCAATGTGGCTAATAGCTTTGGGAATTCCATGAATTGGGAGATAGTTGAAAGCATGGGCTTAAGTGGGGGTATTATTGTCATATGGGACACACTTAAGAGTACGGCAAAGGAAGTCCATATCAAAGGCGCTGACAAATTACCGATCCTAATGACGGGAGGAATTGTGGTATTAATTTATATTAATTCATAACAACAATTTTATTTGGGATTTATATGTTATTACATAAGTAAATGAATTAATAACAAATCTAATTTATTGACAGCCTGTAAGGGTCGTAGAGGAAGGTGGCCCGTGTATTGATGACCAAGGTGCGGTGGACGAAGATGGGATGGCTTCGTTCAACTAAGCTGTTATTTAGTTTTAAGTACGGTTAAATTTAAGAACTGAACTGTTTTAGTATTTTCAAGTACCGTTATATGTAACGTAGATTTGTTTTCATAGTGGTTTTTTATCACAATGGTAAATCTTGTGTTGTCATTCGAATATTGTAATTTGTGTTTTATTATATTGTCATTTAAGTTTTATTATTAATTTTGAATAGCCCATCTGTTTTGCTAAAGTATTTACATAATTTAATTTGGATGTAGAAGTTTATCACTCATATTAACATTATACTAAACTGTTCCTCCTACAAATTAAAAACCAAAATTGGCACCGACATAGTAAAGTAGCACAAGTAAAACCTAAGTTCTTATGTTAATCATCTATAGCTTCATTTACTATTGATAAACAACTATTGTTATGCATAAACAGCTAAAAGTATGTCCAATACTATTACTTTATTTTCGTATATGAAAGAGTTGGTATTAAAATGATAATGACAGAGGTCCAATTGTATTTTTGGTAAATATATATTGCCCGGAAGTTCTTTTTCGATAAAATGGAAACAATTCAACTTTCATGTCTTAGGTAATTGAGTTAACTTAATTACAATCAAATAAGAGACAGATCAAATTCAAAGCTTTTGTATCTAATACATACATATATTATAATCACTTCGCATAGTTTGTATTTCTACTACTTAGATGTATAACAATAGAATATAAAACTTACATATACAATAATATCGGTTTAAATATGAACTTCGTTAACATTATAAGTATACCATCATATTATAAATCGATATTGTTATATTATAAGTTGAAACTGTTCTATTATCTAAAGATACTGTTATATTCTAATACATACATATATTTGTTAATTTTATTATTTAACTTATTTTACTTTTATATATTCTACATTGGCGTTGTTATACTCTAGATAGATACAGTTATAATATAGATAAATACAGTTATATTATAGATAAATACTGTTATATTTAGGTTATATACTGTTTGATTGAAGTTAGATACTGTTATTTTCTTCGTAGATAATATTCTCTATTTGCTACAGTGTTGTAATCAATTCTTACAATAAAACGCAAACATCGTATATATGACACTCTTTTCTATTGCCAACTTAATTTGTTAAACCCCACCTTAATATTCAAATATCAATACTCCATTATCATCACTCAACAATGGATACATACTCAAATTCCACATAATTAACATTATTGGCTATGGTTAAACCTTTTAATCCAACATGGTATGATTTCATTTCACCTCCGCTCCGTCGTCAAGAACAAGAAGATGATATGGTGGCGACGTTGAGGAATTGGGTAGATACAATCATTCCTTTAGCAACATCACACCTCAACGGAGCACCCCCTATTCAAGCCTTGTTGGGATATCTAACTTTGAAAGCTCGTAACCAGTCCTTGATGTTCTCCCATCAATTGGCTACGATTAGCCGTACCTATTTTGTAATGCAAGGTTTGGAGTTTCATCCCTATTTTCCATACTTAAGCCCTTTTAAGATAAATAATCCTATGAAATTCCTAAAAGAGGCTTATTGCTTAATGTACTACATGGTTGATTTGTACAAGATATGTTTTTCAATTAATTTAGGAGAGTTGCGTCGTTATATTTGGCGTTGCAACAACAACGACCCTAAGTTTCGCCACCTCTGTAATTTCTTCACTTTATTCATGGGACTTGACGAGTGGAATGCGGTTGTTGACTACCTCATCAGTACTCATGGAGTGTGTTGGGCATTGTTGGTTGTTGGGAGAGAGTTTGCATCTGCTCATATTACAGAAAATTATTTAGTAACAGTTGAGTGGCTCAAATTTGGTGAAAGTGATTTTGTAGAAGTTTTTGAGAACAATCAAGTGGAATACAACTCTTTCAAGGCCGCAATTTGTACGATCAACGGAGTAGACATTACCAATCATCCAGATTTGATGAATCGTCCACCGTATAGAAAAGATGGCTTTCCTTCCGCTTATGTCGATAACATGTCCAATGCTGTTCTAACCTATGTTGAGAAAGTAGATGACGGTTGGTGTCGCGGGTCTTCTACATCCGAGGTTGAAGGAGATTCCAGTGATGATGGTAAGGATTGGTGTCGTAGTTCTTCCACATCTGAGGTTGAGATCAGAGGTGATTACAGTGATGATGATGATGATGATTTCTGAGATTTGATGAGTCATCCCTCTTAGCAAATATGGGTTTCCTTATTGTCTTTGTTTGGTATCCAATCTAGTAAAATTGTTAATTATAGCATTTTATGTTAAGATCTGCTAATTATGTCATTATTAATGTGATATTAATCTAATAGGTGAACTGCTATGTTGTTTTCCAAAGGACTTGAGGCTAGTTATGTTTATTTTATGTTTTAGTTAAGGACTTATTAATCTATGTAATTGTTTTTATTTGGATCCTTATCAATTACTTGGTGGAGTTTTATTTAATTTTATTGCACTTAAAGGGGCTTCTCCATATGCAGAATATTTAATTGTGTTGTCAACTCAAACTGAACCTACAATGTAGCCTAAAGTACTTTAATTTATTTACAAAACCCAATGAAGCTGACTTTCACCACCTGCACAAGCTATTTCTGCACATATAATTGTATGTCTACTGTTCACAACTTATTTTTAGGTATGACCTTGAACTTGGTGTTCTGTTACATATTAATACATACTATTATATTCACATAAAATACAGTTTACGTTTATTACATACTGTTATACATAAAATAATATTGTTTTGGTTGTTACGAAGTACAGGGGTAGTAAAAATAAAGAATTGGAACAAAATACATGGATGTCATGTTAACAAAAAGTTAATTATCACTACAACCAATGAAATATGAGAATATGAGCTTCTAAATAATTTCCCTCCAAATGTTGGTCTATTGTATAATGTTTTCCCGCCAACATTACCACTCTTTACCTTAATATATTACCACTCACTCTTCAAAATATTGAAAAACCTTTCATTTCTTATTTCAACATTAACCATGAATGAAATAATTGTTCCACGGGAAATGTTCCGGAATCACGCTTTGAAGCCGGTTCCCTCCACTTTCAAGTCACCAAGTAGGAAGTCCAAATCAATTGGTATTCTTTTATATCCTACCTCTACCTCTCAAAATAGTCTTAAAGTAAGGTTCCTTCGAAAGATGGAGTTGTTGAATTTCATTCTTATCCCATACAATATTGAATCATGTTCAAGTAGCCTAATTGAAGTGCTATCAAATGGTCAAATTCGGCCATTTCATGTTCCAGACATGTCCGATCTTGCATTGTTTCCGAAACAAATTAAGGTGTACTTTGAGTGGTTACTTAATAATGCCACCATAGAGGACTTGTTTACTCGAATAGATAGTGTATTAGCACTCAACTTCCCCCGAATTAACAACTTCGTGACAAAATATGTCACCGGGTGTAGGTATGCCACCTCCTTTAAGAGCTTCTCGGACAGGATTGAGTTACTCTCCATGGGAAGGTTTTGTGGCAAACGCATGTTGATGATAATGAAGTCAGTGAACACAACATCTGATGGTAGAGATGGTCGAACATTTACATGTGACTTGGAAGTCAATTCTAATAGAAAAGAAACTTGTTGTGCTAAAATTAAAGTAGAATTCAAAATTCTTTTCTGGAATTGCAAAGGAATGTCTGATCAATTCTTCCATTCCCGAGATGCCAAAGTTATTTTCACCTTACAACCAGATATCTTAGTCCTCACTGAAACACGTGTGTCAAACTTCATATTCAAATTGATACTACGAGATATGCAACACTACTCCTCAGCAACTACTGAACCAGAAGGTGTTTGTGGAGGAATTGCAATTATAAACATTAGCAACAAATGCAATATGGTTGAAGTCAAACAAAGCCCTAATCAATGGCAAGGGAATTTAGTATTGCAAAGTTGTTAATTTAGTTTGTATTAGTTATGAATGTATTCATGTGGCGAAAAAAAAAATTGTTTACTTAATCAATGGCAAAGGGAATTTATTTTGTATTCATATGGCGAAAAAAAAAATAGTTTACTTAATATTCCGGCCTGAAGTTGCAACAATACTACTGAAAATTTTCTAAACAATTCATGGCTAGTCAGTGAAGCAATGACTTAAATATTAATTAGGAGTTAAGCTTTAGAAAGCTTGGGTTAATATGTTAAATATTAAAAAGCTTGGGTTAATATGTTATGCTTTACAATGGAGAGGATTTTGGGCCAGCTAGGATTTTGGGCCAGCCATGGCATTTAATACAGAAAAGCCCATAAACCATCTAAAATAAAGCTAAACAACCATACTCCTACGCCCAATTCAGTCATAATATGTACAACAACAACTTGAGTTGGGTAACCATGTCACAAAAGACCCAAACCCAACCAAAAAACAGGCGTTAGTCCATACAGTTCTACCCCCCCCCCCCCAAAAAAAACAGGCCTTAGTCCATACAGTTCTTCCCCCCCAAAAAACAGGCCTTAGTCCATACACTACTGCCCCCCATACTACTCAGATCACACCGTGTTTTGTTTGTGGTGAAAGAAGTGTGACAACATCAGATCGAACTTCGTTAAACTCGGACATCAAATCTTCCCACAGCAGCCAGGATCTCTGGAGGTTAATGTCATCGTCCTGCAAGAGAGTAAATAAAAAAGAATTACATATTTAATCTAAAACAGGACTTTAATAAGGGCATGTATCAAAGTTGGGTAAAACAAACCAGCTTCACATCTGTAAGTAGCCTCTCCGCATTCCGCTTAATCGCGGCTAACATATGGACACCACAGCTGTGCCTAAAAATACAATGGTAGATAGATTATAAATCGTCAAACAACACTAACTTTCCTCTTTCCCCAAAAAGATTAAATTAATCCTTACAGGTCCCCTTGCTGAGCCATTTGTAGGGAAGTTCTCCGCCAAGCGGTCACTGTACCGACTTCCCATTTTGGGTCCAAGGATTGAAAAACCAAATCCATTGCATATGCCTGGAATTCAGAAAGAAATACACAATTAACAAAGTGAAATGCGATTAAGCAATAATCTAAACGCATTGATTAAGGGAAGGGAAAAGATTCCCAAGATTCCCAACCAACTTAATATGGTGACAACTATTCTCATACGAAAGTACGAATATGAGTGGGAGAATTATTATAATTATTCTACAAATCCAAAAGGAGGCAATAAACAACCAGAAAAGCAAAACTAGCGACAATAGAAAAGCACACCAACAACAATAAATTAAACACATCTCAAGTTTTAATCGGAAATCTAAACAACAATAAAGTAAACGCATTCCTATTGAAACGGGGCAGTAGGTAGCCTGAGAGCAAAATCCTTGGTTATGAGTAATATTAAAAGGCAGAGAAAGACCTAACAATAAATTCCCCAACTAAGATGAATGTCAAGGAGCACAAGGGTTTCTTCTAATACCATTACCAACTAAGATGAATGTAAAGGACCACAATCCTAAACTTGATCAGTATAAATTATCATCTAAATAACTAGAAAATTAACAAAGTGAAATGGGATTCAACATTTATTAAATAGATGTTATATATTTACAATTAGGATATGTACCAAATGATCAACATTGGCAGAGTGGACCTCCGACGCGGAAGAGGTCTGAATGGAATCAATAACCAAAATTTCTTCTCGATTCACTGAAAAAGCCACGCACCACCAGTGACCTTCAAAAAGAACTGGGACAAACACCTGCAGCATGGAAAATAAATAGCATATTGTAAGGCAAAAACATTATCAAGCAAAACAAAACAATACGTTCTAGTGCTCTATGATACTTACAACATTTATCCTCTTTGGACGAACACCATCCATCTGTGGTGTAAACACACGTGTATTAATTACCATCTCCCTTCTTTGGAAAACGCGCATCTACAAATATCATTAGAACATCATTACACCTTGTTGCTCGGAAAAAATTATAATACGCAATAAACCAAAAACTAACCGCAAACATAGGATCCAACATGAAACGCTTGCTGCGATCAGCATAGCGAGCAGCCCAAACTTTTTCATACAACTTGCCAGCAGCACTCACATACTACATAAAAAGACATTGGACATTTACCCTGATTAATTGACAACATAGCAAGTAACTAGTGCCCTATATAATTAATAAATCCAAGGTAAGAAATTTCAACCGCATCAAAGACTTGGCCCCTTTCTGCAGCAATTCCAGCACACATATGAAGCGTCACTTGTATCCCATCAACACTTAGCAATACATGATTGTCCCTAAAGCTGTAATTATAATTTTTTTAAGAAGAAACGTAAGTCATACTTAAATGAAGCACTGTATGAATAGAATAAATATTGCATGTAATACCTTTGTGACTGCAATCAGCGCGAGACATTGGAATGAGATCTTATGTAGTCATAAAATGGAACCCGTAATCTGCGGAACTTCCTCGGCCGCCAAGTGTTCACATAACCTTCAGGAAGCAAAGGTGAGTCTGAATTTTTCCTTTTTTGCCGACTTCGTTGTGGGCTAAACCCTCTCTCTCTGCCATCCTCTTCTGAACTATATCCAATTTCAATTTCAATTTTTTCAGGGCTTTGTAAAGGTTTTGGAAACTACATAACAGCAGGTCCAAATCTCCCACCCTCTGCTGCTCATAAGCCACCACCTCTTGCCTCTCCCTCTCAAACTCCATGCCCAACTCAAATTCCAACTCCATTCCATACATCCTATCACTCTCGCACTTATTTAACAATTGTATCTCCATAGGCCAACTCCAACATCAAGACCATTCCCAACTCCATCTCCCTTTCAACTTCTATTACCAAGTCAATAGCGAACTGAAACTCCAACCCCAACTCCAACTCGACTAGCAAATATAATTCCCTTTCTCTCTCCCTTTTATGACTATCGGTGTCATTTTGACTTTCTGTATCTCTGTCCAAGTCTAAGTCAAAGTCTAACTCATATGCTGTAGGAGATTGCAAGTTCCTATGGTCCAACTCATTATCATCCATTACATCACCCGACATTAATGGAGAATCTACAGCATAGTCATGAACATTTAAGTCGGGTTGCACATGTGCATCACCAGAACCTGATGCCAAATCCTTTTTCTTAAAGTATCCGTACCGACGCTTTTTCACACACCTAATGTTAATCAGTTCATCTACTACATCTACACACTCCTGTTGACTATGCACAGCATTGAACATCGATTGATACACCTGCATTAAGAATACCTTAAGTTAAGATGTAAGATGTTGGTTTAGATTCATTGCTCAAAACATAAATAAAAGTACGAATACCTCCTCCATGACCACAGCTGGTCTTTTCAAGGGCATCACATCTTCTGTATTCATTTCATGGGCACGGCCATACGCTGCTTTTACATTCTGGAAAACAAAGCGTATGGATTTGTGTCAGCAATATGATGACCATGTATAAATATAAAGACTATCATCAGGGCTTGTGTATCTTCTGGTTTTTTTGCATTAAAATATAATCACTTACACCAAGTTTGCCAAAATCACCATTCACATGCCGATCCCCCTTCTTTGCCTTTGATATCTGTCGTGTGGTCCACACTGCCATCCTAGGGAAGACACCCCATTGAATAGGTGTTCTTTTCAATCGATCTAGGTAAAAGATCTACAATATAAAATTCATTTAAAATAAAAGACAACCCAAATGTTTAAAAACAAAATAATATATAATGATTGATTGTTAAGGAAATATACCGCAAGAAATATTGTACACCCTCCACAACTTTTGGAAAAACCCATTGGGTAGAACCTCTTGGCAAAGCTTCCTATAGCATGCATAAGCTGGTCGATTACTAAGGAGCACCAGTCATAGGACTTTGCATTTTCAGCTACAAACGCTGCAGGTAAAAACTGGGGGCATAACCTATGGCTTGTTGTAGGACACAGTATGTCAACTATAGCAAGGAGCAAAAAGGCAATCTTGAAATCTGAAGGATCCTCCAATGGACCTTCAACTGCTTCAACAAGGCTTTGCCGGCTTTGCCTAGGAATTCCTTCCACCAAACTGGGTGTAGTTCTGCTGTACCTACTACGTACACGGTCCAGCATGGAACTCATTTCTTCGGTGGCTTTCTTGGGTACCGACTTCTTTCTCATCGGAATACCAAGCACCCAATGAACTTGAATGGGGCTAAACCCAAACTCTTTGCCATCAATGGTAACCATAGACCTAGAGTTCACATCCACCCGTATCGCAAGCCAATAACATAATTCCCGTGGAAGCTGAAAGGAATGGTGTCCTTCGAACAAGTGTATTATTCTGATAGCGGGTTCAGAATTATTAGAAAGCTAATATATTCAGTAAGGTCAAGTGATCGGAATGCCTGGGTGGAGGCCGCTTCCGATCAATAATATTAATATAATTAATATTACAGCTTAATCTTGACTGAACCCTTCGGGTCACACCCAAGCAAATATATGCGAACCAACTCGACGAATTAATTCGAAAAAAATTAATTCGTCGCCCGAGTGTTAAATATTTAGACGTCGGTAATTCGAGCTTAAAGCGTCGAAACCGATCGTCGGAAGTCGAGTCAAAAATCATAAGAAGACGAGACAAGAAAACAGTAATAAATCAACAATGACCAAAATACCCCTAGCATCGGAACATCGAGTGCTAGGGGGTATAGCCGAGCTAGCAGCCCGCACCAAGTGCGAGGCTTGCTAGCAAGCTGCGGCTAGCAGCCCGCACCTAGTGCGAGGCGTGCTAGCATGATGCGGCTAGCAGCCCGCACCTAGTGCGAGGCAATCTAGCAGCAGCCCTCGGCAGCAGCAGCACGCACGCAAGTGCAGGTGCCTGCTGGCCGAGAGTGCTAGCAAGCAGCCCGCACTTTGTGGTGCGTGGACAGCTAGGCCGAGACAAGGGCAACAGCAAAATAAGAAGCCCACTTGGGTGCCTTGGTGCCCAAGTGGGGTTGCCATGTGGCGCAAGGTGAGGGAGAGAGTGGGGAGCAAGTTTGGTCCTCATCTCCAAGTGGTCCTCACCTACTCCCTCATGTATGCTTGACACTTGTTGATTTATTACTAGTTTGCTTAATAATCTTATTTTAGCTTTAAAATAAATTGTGAAAATCTCATTGTCCCACATTGATGAGAGAGAATTTCATACTCTCATTATTCCCTATAAATACCCAACTTGGGGCATTTGGAATGATACTTGAGTGGGAGTTAAATAGAGCATTCCATAATATTGGAAAAACTCTTAAACTCATATAACACTCGGGTTTTGGTCGGACCTTGCTAACCCCAAGGTAACGGACCTTAAAGTTGTGTTCGCCCCATTTGTGGGTGGATACCGTCGGAGGCGCGGCGCTTGACGTGCTCGTATCTTTCAAGTAAGAGCTCCGGTTTTTGGGCGAAGCTCGCTTCGAGGGTAAGATTCGTTATCTTTTCTTTGTGTTTATTTATTTATGCTTTATGATTTTAATTATTGCGAGTGGTTCCTTGGGTCGGGGTTTGTTTCCGCGGTGATTCGGACTCACCAAACCCCAACAGAAGCTGCCTGTCAACAAGGGCATACAGTCCAGCAAAACCCATTTCCTTCACTAACTTTCGTTTATCTTCATCAAATTTGCTTATTGTTGCACCAAAACTCTCTACACGACAATTAACATTTTCAGGCTGCACATACAAGTTAAACTTGTAAGAAAACCTAATAACAATAATTTACTAATTCCAAATAATTAAACTTAAGACAAATAAGTCAATAACAATAATTTAGTGAGTCCAACTACCCTTTTCAGTTCCATAGAGCATCTTTCTATTACTTTGCTGAGTTCCTTCATCTTCCCACCCCCGCTAAGAGAATTGTCCTACAAAGACAAAACGGTTTACATTGAGTAACCTGAAAATAGGGCTCAAATTACAATACAAACCACAGAGGGAGATAACAACATATACATCTACAACAACTGCCAATGAAAAACTCACCCTAAACACATCCGCACTCAGTTTACAAGGGCGACAGCCTTCACTTGCACTTGCATCATTACCCGCTGATGAATCAATCACAACCTTGTACAACATATTATAAAGAAGTTCGGTCATTTGAATTTAACATAACATATCAAAAATGGATAGATAATTTGTAAAACAAACACACAAAGGAACCACAGAGACAGAGCAAACAGATAAGAAATTGTCAGAGGTAAGCAATGGATAAGAAACCAAAACCCAAATAATTGGATAAGCACTTGTTAAATCAAAGGTTTCATTCTAAATGTTTATTATTACAGCGTTCCCCAAGACAACAGATGTTTCTAAAGACCACTGATGGCAGCACACCCGAAATTAATACGAATGACTACTTTCCTATTATTTAGAGGTGATCCTGCTGGTGCACTGCACCCAAACTTTCCTATTATTTAGAGGTGATCCTGCTGATCAGATATACATGATAGTTGAGCTGCGAAGATTAACATGGTAATCTTCATTTGTTTGACAATTCATAAGAGAGGTGAGGGGCATTACTTGGTAGTCATAATCTTCTTTACATCTCTTTGTTTTCTGTTTTTATTCCCTCCATTTCACTAGCAAATTTTCTGTTTCATAAACAATTCATACACAAATAGCATTCTCTTCTCATCCCAAAATTGACATATTATTAGGAATATTAGGAATTATTATATTCTTATTTCTGGATATATCTTCATACACTCAGATATGGTATGGTTGAAAGTGTTTTCTGAAATTTTTATGTAAATATGCATAAGTTCATTCAGTTTTGTCAGGTTTAGTGGCAGGTTGTAGCTAATTGTTAATACAATTTTCTCAGTATGTCTTTCACCCTTTCAATAAACATGTACTGATGTACCATCCGTCATATATCCGGGAGTGCTGTAGGAAGTTATTGGTTTAAGTTTCAAAAGCTTATCATGCTAGATTTTCTGAATAAATAGAATCTTCATAATGCAATCATGGCATCCTCATTTCAGCTCTGCCATCTTATATTGATGCTTGCATATTAGTGTCCAACATTATTGCTTTAAATATGCTTCACAAAGATTAATTAATCTCATATGGACCTGGCTTGTTATTTCATTATGATTAAGATATTACGAATAAACTGATTTGGAGAAGATATTATATTTAATGCAGGGATGCTTATAGATTTGCTGTTAGGCCTCGGATTGTGCAAAGCTATAGATAGTATGCTAAATTGTGAAGGTACTAATTTTCTATGGTACTGCTTATGTTAGAACATATGATTTTGTTTTTTCGTGTTTTCAATCAATTGATGAACTGTGAAGGGATTATAAAGAATTAAGAATACTAATTTTATGCTTTGAGATGAGTGTGAAATGTTTGCTGTACTAAATGTTCTGCTTGTCATATTCGATTGAATCTTGGAGCAATAAGAACAAGGAAGTTTCGGGTTAGAGAGTGTATTTTTGCTAATAAGCTACGCATCATATATGCATCTATTCTGAAAAATATAGTAACACGCAGGTACTAGCAGGGCAAATGAAAAGGTTTGAAAATGCGCTGAGAATGCTTCAAGGGAAAGATGCTGATATTTCATTTGTGGCATCTGAAAATCAGGTGAGATTCTTAGTCATAATCACATTCTTAGAGAAATTTGATGTAATTATTGTAATGGGATAGTAATATTCTCTGAATAACTGAACAAGTGATTGATGAACTTGGTTTCGTAACAGGAATATATAGAAACTACAGATCACTTGCCAAAAGCTAGGATACTGGATCTTTTCCAACAGAGATGCTCGCGTTCAATCACAGTGAGATTCTTATGACCGTAATTTTTCTAATCAAGAAACTAAACCAAAGATATCTTACTTAGAAACCTCAACCCAAATGAAGAAACGCATTTTTTTTTTTATAATTTATTTTCGAGCATTTTTTTACTCCGTATATATATATATTCAAGTTTTGCGCTCGAGTGAGATTAAGAAAGAAGGATTGCGAATTAGTATTTGTTGCTGATTAAGTATTGGGTTCAGTGTTGTTATGAAGTCTTGAATCACTGCCTAATCAATTTTATTATCTTCCTGAGCTAGCTCTTCTCTTTTTTTTTTTTTTTTTTTTTTTTTTTTTTTTTTTTTATAGATTTTGGTTCTTATTTGCATGATTTTGGTCCGAAATGGAGTGTCCAAACGTTGTATTTCTATTGGAGTGTTGAGTATTTGTTACGGGTACTTGCTTGAAGTGAAATGAAGAGTCGGGGTAGCATATATGATGCGGGTTTCTACACTACAATTAGTAATTAGTTTTCGATGCTTGTTATTGATGCTAGAACTGGGTGTCGCTATTGTTGTTAGGGTTTCAAGATGAATGGGGGTTTTGGTAGATTTAAGCTT